CGGTTCTTAAGCTTTTCTGATAGGTGTTAACCGAGTATAACCTGACATTATATCTACATTTACAAAAAATGTGACTATGAAGAAAATAGGTTATATGCTAGCATAGATATGATATTTTAGAAATTGCATAGGCTGGAGAAAACATTTTCTGCTCCACTGTATCCTGCTTTAGATCTTCATCAGCAAAGCAGTTAAGCACATAGCATGGGAAAAGTCCCTTTAAATGAATGACCTACTGTCTTTGCAAGCATGTGTTTAAGCATGTGTTTGCCAGATTGGAGCTTAAAAAAAGAGTACAGTGAAAATGCAACTTAGAAGCACTATGTAAGTTTTAACAAAAATATGCCCTACCTTGTTCCTGAGGAAGTAAAAATCAAAATGGGCCTGTTGCATTAAAAATAGGCATAAAGTTTTATATATGGTGATGAAGGCTTAAGAAAAGGAGTTGCTTCAGGAATTTTATAAATAAAATGCAATTGTTCTCTAGCTAAACAATGTTATAAACAACTCTAGATCTTCAAATGCTTTGTAATTTATAGTTTCTTTGTAATTTATAGTTTCTGTTCGTTTTGCTTTAAGATGTGACAAGATGGTGCTGTTTTGAAAGTAACAGATTGAGGCGTTCTTCTGGAATTGTTTTAATACAACTTATTTTTCAGATTGTTTTGACATTTACGAAGCTGTGTTCCACACAAAGTAGATATCTGTTTCTTATAGTAATACTCTTGCTGGTCTTACAGTTTGATGAAAAATGCAGGGGTGCAAAAATAAATAGATACTGCATCCAAAGGCTAATGCACTCACCTGGAGCCTTTTACAGCGATTTCAGTGGGATATGGTCATCTTGGAAAAGAGAGAGCCTTGTGTAGGCTGAAAGTAGAATTTTATCAGCTACCAGATTTTGTTCTTTTTTTAGAAAAGGCGTATGTTTCATCCAGTTTGTGAGATCTATCTTAGTTGGAGTATCATTAACCTTTTGATTCTAGTGTTGATCCAGTAGTGTTACTGAGGAGGTATGTGCACGCTTCCAGCAACAAGGCTCAGAAGTCATCATTTAGCATTCAAAATCATTATAAGTACCTTATCTCTCCCAAATACTCTTAGATGGGAGACTGTATTTAGTATAACACCTGCAGGGAAGGAAAGATGAGAAGTATCATTAGAAGCTAGCATGTAATGATAATAGTTATTCTTTTACAAATTGCCACACGCAGTATTTTCCCAAACAATACCATCGATTATTTAAAAAAGTATCATGTAGGCAGGAATATATTGCAGTTCATACACTGAACATTATCCTCATTAAAAACTTCTAACTGACCTATGAGTGGGATCAAAATTGGTATTTCTTCTTATGTTTAATCAAAGGGATAAAATAATGCTGTCTCCCAAACTCTGCTCTTAAGGATAGGGTATCGCTCCTCTGACCGTGACCCCTCTAAGTAATCTCATAGAAAAGAAGTTACTTAAATTTTACTGTTGTTGAAACTGTTAGGATGAGCAGGATTAGTAAATGAAATAGTAAATGTCCTGTGCTTACGTCTGTATAGAAATGGTATTTTGCAGTTGTTCTTTTGGTTTCAGAGTGTTGCAGTCCGAGCAATGAACTGTAGTTTTAACTCGTTGAACTTATTTCATCTAAGGCAAAGCTTATTTATTTCTGAATGCTTTTTAAATAAAGCAAAAACAGTTTTCAAATGATCCTCAGTTTCAACAAGGGCTTTCTTAACCTTACTTCTGGATAAGCATTAATCTAGAGCTTTTTTCCCATTCCACTTCAGCACCCTACAGTTTTATGTTGTCTTAGACATCTCTTCCTCTCTCTTGAGCCACTTCTGTGTATCTGTCCATTTCTTTTGCATTTTGGATCAATTGAATGGTTTTACTGTAACAGAGCTCGTGTATCCTGTGAAAGCAAGCTAGGAAAGTCTTCTCAGAACAGCTTTCTTGAAGACTTGTTCCCATTTTTTTTTTCTCCCATGTCCACTCTGATGTGTCTCTTTTGAGCTGTTTATTGAACTAGGAGGAGGTTGCTTTGCATTGTAATGCTGAAAAT